TTTGAACATACCTTCTCTTGAGGCTCGCAGAAAACATAGAGATTTAATACTTCTATTCAAAATTATCAACGGACTGAGTATCAGTCCCGAACTTCTCTCCAAAATATCTTTACATGTCCCCAGTCGTTCAACTCAGGTGCAAACGTTTTACGTTTCTTTTCACAGATTCAATTATTCATCCGCTCAAGTGGAATGATAAGAATGAGCTGACAAACAAACTATCTAAAATACATATAAAATGAAAGTTGAGAAACCAGATAATTTCTCAACATAAAGTGAACAAATGAATCCAAACAAACCCTCAAATACGTAGAAAATGTAATGAATTCTGTTTTAAAAAATCTGTTTTTCTGTTAACCAGCTGCCACACCCCTGCGAACGACAACCCTCAGTATTCGAAACTTGTGCGAGATTATATATGTAGATTGAAAAAAATAAAGTCGTAGGTATTCGTTACTGAAAATAGATACTAAACTAACTCAAATCCTCTGTAATGAATATGTTTTATTAATTGAAATATGAAAGATAAGGTAATGTTTTTCTCCGTCGTCACCTCATTTTCAAGAAGAGTCACCGTCAGAAGAAAAACCCTTGTATCAAATAAACTTTATCGAATTCATAACTCCTGCCTGCGAGTGATGGTCGTGATGTCAGCAAATTATCGATTTCCTTCCAGACAGGCGCTCTCTTTTCTACATTCCCGACATTTACAGAGGTCTAAATGAATTTCTGACACAATTTCCCAACAAACTGCACAGAATATAGCACACACGTTCTAAGCGATTTTCATTTTAATTGATAAGTATAACATTTTGTGATATATATCTCTGTAAGTACGTTTTTAGTTACTATCGTAGTTTTCACACTTCTCGAACAAATTTGGATGAGAAAGAAACGTAATAAGGGAAACATATTTTTCGATGTAATCTGTTCTTGTGAACTCTGCATTGATTTAGTTCAAAGTTATTTAGAATTATTTCGATGACACCAATCTACTTAGCTTATATACAATGTAGAAACTGAGACATGTTTTTTCTTTTTCGCACTTCACCTATCGAGTAGTAAGCAAGGGAAAAAAATTGTTAAAATCATAATGTTTTAATCCTGTTGCATTTTCAGTTGGGAGGTTAGCCAAAGCAAAATCTGAATTATTTCTGTTTCTTTTCGTTATCGCTTGTACAAAAAGAAAATAAATGATTATAATAAGATTTTGTTAACGGATTTCTAAATGTATGAACCAATTGAACATTTTTCTGCTGTGATGCTATATAGTGGAACGTAAATGGTTCCCTTCCATCTTAACTTTTAACGAGGTAAGATATCAAATATGGACAGATTTTTTATGAAAAGGAAAAATTTGAGAGGGGTACAAGCATAAATTCTTTATACAACGACCCTTACTATTTTGACTTTAGATGACCGATTGCATTATTGGTGTATGAATTGAATAAATACTAGGAAAAATAATCTTTCGTAACTTTGAAATCAAATGAGAATTGAAACAGCTCCAAAGTTAGTTATTACAAATTATACAAAGTTTGTAATGTAAGAGAAAGAAATTGTATTTACAATAGAATTGATACTGGGTATTTGAAAAGAAGCAGGGCCGGACCTAGGATTATTATAAGGGGGCTGGGTTTGATTTTATATCTTCCCCAAAGATGCCCAATCTACCAAAACGCCCAGTGCCACTTAAGGTCAGGAAAAAAACTCACCTACTGTGTTATTTCAATCAAATNTTTTTGTTCCTATTATTAATTATTCATTTATTTATGTGACGCAAATAAGCGATTCACAGTATATTTTCGAAATATCATGTGGATATATTACCAAATTTGCAATGTATGTAACGAAAATTTGATTTGGAACAAATAAGGAAAAAAATAAATGAATGAAAAATCACAATATGTCACAGCAGAATCAGTTTATCATACCAAAAACAACTGTGATGTGTCGTGAACTGTGTTTTATCATATAGACCTATATTTTTTTAATACTCAAACAACTCCCTTTGATTTCAATTTAAGAACCACCGGTAGACAGCTGTTTCAGCCTATCAGGCATCGTCAGTACCGGGCAGGCGGTTTTCGATTGAAGACAAAATGTGAATAGCCAAGAAAAGTACTTGATAAAAATAACTGTGTGAACGCAAGCGAGACATAAGTGGACCACCTATTGGTGTGACACCCAAGTCAACTTGCCAAGTTTTTATGTCAGTGTTGGTGGTTTGACCAATCAGCCGACAACTGGGGTTGCAGAAATTTGGGAAGCTAACCTGAAATGCCATCGGAAAACGAATCCACATGTTTTTAGAAATTATATGAAATTGAGAAAGGTTAATGCAGTCAAGCTGCTAGAAAATAATTCCATGAAAATCAAAATATAAATAGATAAGTACTATTTTGATTATTCCCATATTGATTTCATTTTAAGAGCCACCGGTAGACAGCTGTTTCAGCCTATCAGGCATCGTCAGTACCGGGCAGGCGGTCTTCGATTGAAGACAAAATGTTCGTTATCTTGTTTAAGTCAGATTTATGGGCCTAGGGCCCCTTATCCTTTCGGCTGTTTGAGTTTTTCTTGGCTCTCTGTGACGGGGAGGCAGGGGATTGCATGGTCCTCTGTCGGCTTCTTTTGGCTCTTTGCCCGGTGTGTAGAAGTCGTAGCGTACTTCTTTGGCTTTGCGGCTGTTTAGGCACTGTTTCTTGTTTTATTATCCGGCGAGCATGGATTGCAGTACCGAAAACTTCACTAGAAGCGTCTGCAGCTGCCCTAAAGCCGTTGGGAGACCTTCGGGAGAACTGCAGGCGTTCTCTGACGATGAGAGGGCTCTCGCATACGAGACGTCGCTGCTGATTGAGTTTTTTCCGGTTGTGATAGGGCGGGTGTGGTTTTATTTGATTTTGGCTAAAAATTAGTCAACTTGTCAATTTGACAGCTGTCTGACGATAAGACAACACGATAAGTGTTCATCGTCTTGATTTCTTTCAGGTTGAAGCACAGCTCCCTTACCCTTTTAGCTGATTATTGATCTCGAGTAGGACCAATGGGTTCATGACTGAGAGATATGTGATGGAAGGTCATCTTGATTTCAGACAGGTTGGAGCCTGGCTCCCTTACCCTTTGGACTATATCGGGAGGGGTCGTCTACAGTGTAATCCATAGCTTTCCTGACTAACGGATTATCGTGAGTTTCAGCGCAATCTGAAACTCGCCGATTCCTTGACTGGATGGACTGCTGAATGAAAGGCAACTTCAAATCTCCGCACGAACCACGGAGCATTCACAATCATCCGTAGAATTTTATTTTGTAAGGTCTCCAGGATGGAGATGTTAGTCGGAGCCGTTTGTCCCCAAACGCCTGAAGCGTACATGATGACAGACTTGAACATCGTGTTATAGATCGTGATTCTAATCTTGAGGCTCAACTTAGACTTTCTGTTGATCAAAGGGTACAGGCTTGCCACCCGACCCTGGATCGTTGCCTTCACACTTAACAAGTGCGGGTTCCAGGTGAGCCTACGGTCTATTAGAAGACCGAGGTACTTGACCCGCGTCTGCCAGTCAATCTCCCTTCCAGAGATTCTCACTTTAGGGGAATGTGACGACGTTAACCATCTTGATTTTGTTCAGGTTGAAGCCTGGCTTCCTTCCCCTTTTAACTGAAGTTTGTCAGAAAGACAAATGGGTCACGACTGATGTTTGATGGTGGCATGAAAGTCCTTAGACATCCATACCGCCCTTCGCGNCCTATTTAGCTCCGCGATGGTATTTTCGACCAGTCTCAGAGCCTGCAACTCAGTGGAATGTTCTCTCCTGAAGCCGAATTGCTCATCAGGCAGAACATTTCGGTCCTCAACTTCTTCATTGAGCCTTTGAAGTACGACTCTTTCAGCCAGCTTAGCCGCCGACGAGAGCAGACTAATCGGGCGATAATTCTGCGGGAAAATCCAATTGGCATTGTGGTAGCGGTTAGTATGGGTAGGTTTTCGAAAATCTACATGTGTAAATAACAAATACAAATCAAAACACAGCAAGACCTAACATTCAACAATGATACTAGAGAAACTCCTACACAAAAGATATTACCTAATGTAACTAATACCTGCACTAAGAAGTTCTAACCGTATAAAAGAACAAACAAGCAGATAAAACGTTCAGTTTGAGTAGAGCCATGAAGATGATAGTACAGCCTGCTATCGAAAGCGCTCGCATATAATGATTGGAAGACTCGATTGAAGACAAAATGAGAAAAACCAAGAAAGTACTTGATAAAAATAGCTGCGTAAACGCAAGCGAAACATAAGTGGAACCACTTATTGGTGTGACACCCAAGCCAAGTTTTTATGTCAGTGTTGGTGGTTTAACCAATCAACCGACAACTGCGGTAGCAGACATTTGGGAAGCTAACCTGGAATGCCATCGGAAAACGAACCCACATGTTTCTAGAAATGATATGAAATCTAAAAACATTCACTCCACGGTGTGGGGAGTGGTCGTTGGTTGATAATGCTGGCGCGCCCTCACGAATGTATAGGGCCTGTATAGGGTAAAAATAATGATTATTATACATTTATTTACTGATAAATAAAACAATACAAAATAATATGACACACTCTAATCCTTAGTGGCCGAAATAAGAAACTTCACCAAGTTCTTTCGCGGTTAATATCATCTTTGAACCACTTGAGGTTTTGTCACGAATATATCGTGTACCTTTTTAAAACTTGGAACTTAATAATCGAACTCATGCATTGATTCAACATCGCATTTTATATATCGTGCAAAAATGTTATCAGTACCTACTCATGTTTGTTTCAGTATCCCACACCGGCCGTTGATCCAGATCCCAATCCACAAGATAGAAAACCCGGAACTCTTCCCCTTGATGTTGAGTTAGACGTGGCGTCAAAGGATCTTCTTATGAGATTGTTGGAATTTGAACCTCACAAAAGACTCAAATCACTACGAACACTAGAAACCATAGCATTTTATAAGGGATATAGTTTCAAAGATGTTCGGGAGAAAAAGGTGAGAAACAGTGCTTGGAAAAGCACAATTTATTTAAGTGTTGTTTCCTTTCATTTGTATTGAATATTCCTATACATGGTGGATATGGTGGAATACCAAGGACCTTGGTCCAAANTCTGTTCAAAAAATAAGGTGACTGTTCAAATTTCGCGGGCTACATATATTCGATTAACGTTTGTTTTAATTTTTTTTATGTTGGTACATTTATCTCGAACACAGTTTCAGCAGTTCAGCATGTTTAGTTTTGCCCGATGGAAGAACCCAGGAGAGTCAAGACCAAGCAAAGCACGCCAGGTTGGATCAAATCTCGAGATTTTACTCGCTGTTTTCTTTGATTACTGTGGCATAGTGCATCAGGAGTTCTTGCCACTTGGTCGTACAGTCAATAAGGAGTATTATCTTGAACTTGTGCGCCGCTTGTGAGAAATAGTACGAAAAAACGTCCGGCATTGTGGGAAAACAATGCGTGTCTCTTGCACCTGCACCTTCTCACTCGTTATTGCTTGTTCTAAATGTTTTGTCCTGAAACAACACTGCAATCATGCCTCAGCCACCGTATTCACCAGATTTGGCCCCCGGTGACTTTCATGTTTCCGAGATTGAAGAGACCAATGAATGGACGGCGTTTTGTGATGATCTATCTATAAAATTAATATTTTTTGAAAAAAATGTTCACCTTATTTTTTCAACTGAGTAATATTATGATTACCTTTTAACATTACATGGAGAAATGAGTAGTGGTTTGATTCTGACTGCATGAAAGATTATTATTCAATTCGTCCACAGACTCGGCTTAGAGAGCAAAGTATACATAACAAAAAGGGGATCATTGTTGGATAGATCAGGTGAAATAGAAACGAATCCCTTTAAATGTTGAATGCATTATTTCATTCCTCTTTTTTAAGTATTGAAATATTTTTTCAAAGAAAAAGGTTGAAATGATAAGTTTAAAATGCGTTGTTTTAGAACTCTTTTATGAAAACTACTTGATTTTCGTCAGGAGGAACATTTCCCATTGCCCCATGAAATTCAAAATGAAAATTCTTAATGATTGCTTCCGAATTAAACTCAGTTGGTGAATTTTGAATTCAAAATATATGTATTTTAGGTAATTTTTATAGTCGGAAATCTCATTTTTATAGCTTAAGTAGTAACAAATTTTAGATAATTCACCCTGTTATATTTTATCTTTCAACAGTTTTAAAAGTTCCATACAAATGAGTCTAAATAATTTGTATATTTGTCTTCCTCAGTGGAGTGTTGAAGTTGTTGAATCTAGTATTAATGTCAGTATTTTTGATGAATCTCATCGATTTTTGTAGTTAGTACCTATTACCTTTTTGTGCTATATTTTCATAAAATGTAATTAAAATTTAATAAACTGGATATTTTTTAAACAAAACTATAACATTTTTATCTCTGACCAGCAGCCGCTGCTATACAAGTGAAACCTCAAAAGTCTTCAGCAGATTTCTATAACTAGGTAAGTTAAATTCTTTCTCTTAAAGATTATACAAAAAATACGTTTTTCTATTCGGTTTGTCCAGACATTGGTTAACCTAAAGGATTAGGTGGGTAATGGAAAAAAATACCAGCGTGGTTCGAACAGAACTGGTTGGTATCTGAATTGCCACAAAAGAAATAACCAGGAAAGGAATTTCTGGCAAAAACATAACAAACTGTAGACAGTAAACAAGCCCTATTAGCCCTAAATAGACAACGTGTTAACACAGGTTTAGTACTAGAGTGCCACCAAAATTTAGCCAAAGCCTCGGTAGATAATGACATTATCCTGAGGTGGGTTAAAGGGCACGACAGGAGTAAAGGTAATGGCATTGCCGACTCTTTAGCCAATAGCAGGGGAGCCCACGATGCAAAATGGGGATTTTCTCAAGCGTTATTGAGACATATTAGGTTGCAAAGCTCAGATGATGAAAAAAAATGTTACATAATATATACCTTTTCATCGGTGGGGGAAGCGGCCATAGATTTTTAAATATGTAAAAAATACTGTTGCGTGGACATACTCGAGCGCGTCAGATATTGATAGCATCAATGTCCTACGTATTTTTAATAATGTTGGTATGTTAATCTGATCGTTTGCATGATGTTTGCAATGTTTATATGAAAATAGTTGTTTCTAGAGGGCCTTTTCTTTTAGTTTGCTTCTGAGAGGTACTTCTCTGTATGATCTACAATCCTTTATGAAGAGTTTGAAGCGAAATTGATTACTTTGTTTCCTTATTTGAAAGATTCCTAAATGTTTGTATAAAGGAACCAAAACCTTTCTCTTCCAAAAATGAAAATATCCTTCTTTTAAACCATTCCAAGTTTGTTACTGTCAAAGTCAAAATAAAACGAACTGATAAGTTCAAGAGAAAAATACACCCAATTCTCGTTTTTCTGGGAACGTGTGATTTTTGTTTTTGAATTCAACCAAACATCATCTGAGGAAAAAGCCCAATACATCATGTGTGCGCCATTGCATCCAGTAACTGTACAAATGAGTTATATACTTAACGTTTTTATTACGAAATTTATCGTAATACTTACTTCACTATGATTGATCTCCATCCATTCCTCGAGCGATTATTCATCGTTCATTATGTACAGTTAATCAAAATCCTCAAGATGATAGTAATGATGATGAAGTTTCCGACATAATTACTTTTAGCACGGTTTTCTGAATTTTATGAAACCTTAGCAGTGACAAAAGCAAACATCATTCGATATGAAATTGGAGAATACTTCTACTATTAATAGTTGTGTTATCTATTGATCAATAAAATGTGGTACATGTCGCCGATAATGGTTTTCATTAACAGGTTAGGTTTTATTTTATCTGATGTCAACTAACCTATATTTATTGATAAATCTCAATGATTGAATCGAAATTGCTCTTCTTCGCCTACTTTTCTCACCCTTGTAGGTTTTTTCAAGGTTATAAATGTGGTACATGTCGCCGATAATGGTTTTCATTAACAGGTTAGGTTTTATTTTATCTGATGTCAACTAACCTATATTTATTGATAAATCTCAATTATTGAATCGAAATTGCTCTTCTTCGCCTACTTTTCTCACCCTTGTAGGTTTTTTCAAGGTTATATAACTTTTCTGAGAATTTAGTAACTATGGTCCTTTTTGGTGGGTTTTCGCCTCTGGACCACCGTCCGGAACGTCTTATGTTGGCGTAGAAGATCCATTTTTCATCACACATGACGACCCGATCCGAAAAAAGCATCGTTTTGGTTGCGCAAAAGCAAAGAAGAACAGACCTCGAAATGTGACAATATCTATCCATCGTTCAAATCGTGGAGCACCTATTTTTCGAGCTTTTCGACCTTTTCAGTAAGTTTTGAACCTTTAAAAACCGCATGGGAGCTGACGCCTAGTTGTTCCGCCATCCCACGCACCTTTTGTGATGGGTCATTCTCCACCTGGATCCTCAAATTATAATGCTGGACTCATTTTTGAGGTTAAAATCACCGGAAAAAATTCTCTATCGATCAGTGTATACCACGACACAGTAAAATAATGTTTTATCGAGATATGGAGCTACAAAAACAGATTAAATTAAAACGGACAAAATTTTTGAAAAAACCTAATAGTTATCTTCTTTTCAAAATACAAATCATGAAATTATAAAACAACAATAAAAATTTATTGGCGCTCCGGGCCGACTTCATTGATTCCAGTGGCGCATCTGCTTTTTCATCTGAAGATCTTGATCTGCCAATGTTCTCTCTCTCATAAAACAAAATGTAGGGTGTCTTCAGCGGCTCCAACAAATTCAATACATCGCCAGAACACTTAGTGACATGACTATCGTCAAACTTAAACCAGTCCGTTTCGTCGTTGGCCAAGGCGTAATAATGACCAGACTCAACGCCAGAACCACAGTGAACAATGACTGCATGAAGATTATAACAGTGGTCTGCTAGATGTGTTCATCAATTTCGAATCTTCGTAAGAATGTGGTGCTTCCGTCAGAGGTTGAGTCATGTTTGAAGATCATCAGTGTTATTATTAGATTGACTGGTGCCTCAGCTATACTTGTTTTTTCATAACAGTCAGTTCGTTTGACGCATGTTTGGCAATACAATGGATCATCACATGTTAAAAGTTCCATTTGCCCGGACTGGTTATTAGTCATATTAGGAAACGCTAGTTGAAGTTCCAGAAACATACGTTTTCGCTACCCCTTGACAATTTACTATAAAGTAAAGAGGTGATGATTTTTTCAGCAAAATATTTACAAACACAAGTCGAGGTAGACTGTACGGAATCATTCAATCCAGAGCGGTCAGCGATATTGATTCTGCTATTGTTTTGCTCACGAAGAGTATTCAACAAGAACCCTAAGAAAAAAGTTATGTATAATTTTCAGAAATACAAACCAATGGATATCTGTATGTTGAATAGTTCATTTGTCTGTTGAAGTTGACATAAATATACGAGATTCAACAAGAACCCTAAGAAAAAAGTTATGTACAATTTTCAGAAATACAAACCAATGGATATCTGTATGTTGAATAGTTCATTTGTCTGTTGAAGTTGACATAAATATACGAGGATCCTCGATAACTTACAAAATTTTAATTTTTTCCGAACATGGCGCTCTGAAATTTTTTGCATAAATCAGAGAAATGAGCCAATTCCTTACAATTTCATTTCCCTTGCCATTTTACTGAAAATTACTTCAAGTGAAGCTTCCAAAAGCTCCGCACAACCTTCAACTTATGGAGGTTAGGTTAAACTGAAACTAGTAAAAATGTTACATCGAGGATCCTCGTATATTTATGTCAACTTCAACAGACAAATGAACTATTCAACATACAGATATCCATTGGTTTGTATTTCTGAAAATTGTAAACATATCTTTTCGAAAAAAGTTATGTATTTCAAGGAGTGCCACAGGGTTCAACTTTTGGTCCATTATCATTTCTGATCTATGCTAATGATCTTTATGAAATTTTCCAATGATACGTTTACTGTCGGAACTGTGATAGATCAGCTCAGACAATAACTTGGACTATAGCTGAATAGTTCAAAAGCAGGCTAAATATTATTTTAAACCTCAAATACTACTTCAGAATCGCTTTTATGGAATTGGATGCATTGGCTGTACAAGAATTAGAAAAAATGATAATTTTGTAAATGTCGGTGAACAAAACTCAAGTTGGAAAACACATATTCATTGAGTAAATTCCAAATTGGACTTCATCTGTTGTTCTAAAAATGTATCTTAGGAATCGCACGTTTAAAATTGAAGCATCAGCTGTTCACTAGGGTTTTATCCACTTTTTGGAAGCCACTGTATAATACTTCTACCGTAAATTGTAGACTCCGGTCTGCGTGTACTATGATAATGTGAATTCCTTCAGTCTTTACCGTTATTAATACTATCAAATAAATCATTGACTATTGCCTCTGGCGACCAGTAATTTTTTTTAATCTTTCCAATCTCGACGTTAGTATCTAAATATTATAGTTAGAAGTTGGTGATGACATGACAGTTACATTGTAGTGATATGATAATGAGATGTAGATCTAGAACGTAGATTCATTTAAATTTCAAAATTTATCTTGGAAGTCATTTAGTTAACAACTCGTTATCTGAAACAGCACATGTAAATTGATGTACAGGATTTCGAAGCAGTATCAGTTTTTTCTGTTTCCACGTAATAATTTACTCGTTTCATATTTCTGACTCATCACCATACATTTTTTTTGAGTTCAAGTTGATTGACCAATAAGAATATACTGACTGTTATTTTAATGGATTACGAAATATCTTGCATTATTTCGTACGGTGGCGATGTTATACATAGTATTCCAGACACTCATGAGAAGTTACGACGGCATAATAATGCCAATGCAGAAAAATTAAAAAAAAAAACATTTCAATGGACCGAGTTAAAATATGTAATCTACTTTTCCAAAACTCAAGGACTATAAGAATGTTTTCTCACAACACAACAAAAAATATTTTTTGAATGTTTTCTACACTAAATTAGTCAATTTCTACTAATTTTGGGGTGATAAAAACGAAAATAACAATGAAAAATTTTTATTAGCTCTGGTTTTTGAGATACACAGTACTTAATCTTAAAGAGTAGTTATACTATACGTGAAAAGTGAAAGTACATAAAACAATATTGTTATGTTTCTTTTAGAATATTTTAAGTACA